TATATATAAAACATTTTATAGAATATGGAGTAAGAGAATTAGAAGAATTTATTTCAAATCAAAAAATATAATTTTAACTATGGGCATTATTTCTAATTGTATGAATTTGTGCATATATGTGTGTGTGTATTTTTACACATGCGTACAAATAGGTGCTTTTTAAAAATCATTTTGCATTATAGCATAAGGATTTTCATGTTAAATAGCACCCATATGCTTTGTCCGTTCTTCAACAGTGCCATTTTTAACAGATATCAGATTTCCAGGATGTATGTATGCAATTTACATTGTTGATATCTCTGATTTTTTGGTATTGTCAATAATATCATGATGACCATCTTCATATATATAGCTTTTTAACATTTTGATTGGAAATACTGGGTTAAATAGTATAAACATTTTAGTGAGAATTGATGTAAAATCCTCAACTCGTTGAAAGTCTCCTGCCCCAGGAAAGGAAAATTACTCAATATTTCCCTGTATATCCATAAGATATTTTTTTTAAAAAAAACAACACTAAAGTTTTTGAAAGTTTAAGATATGCTTGGAGGTATTTCTTTAACAGAGATGCTTTTGCAAGGAGTGTGAATTTCTCCATTAATATGGGAGCCAGGGTTAGCCAAAAGCCTCAGCCTAGGATGAACGGCAAGTAGTTGCACAGTGTGTGGGGCTGAGCTAGAAGATCTTCAATATTATGCTTTTCTGGAATGGTGTTTCTCATGCTCTGAATTTTAACCTTACTGTTCAATCATAGGGCACACCTGTAGCTTGGACACAATCTTAACCAGCAGAGCATTTCTGAGCTTTGTACAGACTTTGTCAACTTTGCCCACTCTTTAGTAGTGACACTGAGCGGCAACAGTGATGATCTTGAGATCTTGTTCTCTCCCTACCTGGACATTTTAAAATTGAAATATAATTCACATACCATAAAATTCACCATTTTAAGTGTAAATTTTAGAAACTTTTAGTTTATTTAAAAGGTTGTACAACCATCACCGCTATCTAATTCCATAACATTTTCATCACCCCAAAAAGAAACCCCGTATCATTAGCACTCACTCCCCATTCTTCCCCTTCCTCTAGCCCTGGACAGCTCCTAATCTGCTTTTTGTCTTGATTTTCTTATTCTAGACAGTTCATATAAATTGAATCGTACACTATATGACCTTCTGTGTATGGCTTCTTGCACTTAGCATATGGTTTTCAGGGTTCATCCAAGTTGGAGCATTTTTTAGTACTTCATTCCTTTTTGTGGCTAAATAATATTCCAGTGTATTCCAGGGTAGACCACATTTTGTTTACCCATTCAAAACTGATGAATGTTTGGATTGTTTCCACTGTTTTGTTATTATGAATAATGGTGCTCTGAACATTTGTGTACAAGTTTTCATACATATGTTTTCAATTCTCTTGGGAGACTATACAGGAGTGAAATTACTGAGTCATATGGTAACTTTATATTTAAATTTTTGAAGTTGAACAAATTCACAGTGCCACCGAGTGTGACTAAGGATGCTAATTTTACCACACACTTTGTGGTTAGAAGCATAGAGATACTGGAGCTGCAGGACCTGGGTTTGAATCTCAGCTGTGTCATTTCCTAGCTGTGTAAGCTTAGACCAGTTACTTAAGCTCTGTGCCTCAATATCCTCATCTCTAAAACAGAGGCAATAATAGTATCTTTCTCACAGTATTGTTGTAAAATTTAAATGAGCTAGTATATGTAAATCACCAATACAAAGTTCTGATATATAAAGAATGCTATATGTTTACTATTACTGCTATTTTTATCTCTATTGAAATTATTGCATTGTTTTGTTAATTTGATCGGTGAAAAAAGTGATGCTATAGTTTGTTGAGGTGTGCGATTGAAATGGAGTAATCATAGAAGGCAATAATTTAAGAGGGCAGCAAAATCAAGAAAAGCTTTTGTTGAACAGGGGGCAATTACATTTCACAGTGTAGCCCGAATAAAACTGAGGCTTCACATGGTTCAGTCCAAATATATAATAACATTCTAAGAAAACATTGAAGAATAATACTTAAGCCTTCTTAAGGAGCCTCTGCAAACGCCCAGCATATCGATCAGGAAACTCCTAAAAATCTTCTCTAGATGCTTCTCTTTTCAAATTTTTCCACTCACAGTAGCTGCATATCTATCTATCTATCTATCTATCTATCTATCTATCTATCTATCTATCTATCATCTATCTATCTATCT